TCAAGTTACTCCTACGTGTGGTTCCTGCATAGTATTTCTTATTTGTACCACAAGTTCGTGTATCAAGTTACTCCTACGTGTGGTTCCTGCATAGTATTTCTTATTTGTACCACAAGTTCGTGTATCAAGTTACTCCTACGTGTGGTTCCTGCATAGTATTTCTTATTTGTACCACAAGTTCGTGTATCAAGTTACTCCTACGTGTGGTTCCTGCATAGTATTTCTTATTTGTACCACAAGTTCGTGTATCAAGTTACTCCTACGTGTGGTTCCTGCATAGTATTTCTTATTTGTACCACAAGTTCGTGTATCAAGTTACTCCTACGTGTGGTTCCTGCATAGTATTTCTTATTTGTACCACAAGTTCGTGTATCAAGTTACTCCTACGTGTGGTTCCTGCATAGTATTTCTTATTTGTACCACAAGTTCGTGTATCAAGTTACTCCTACGTGTGGTTCCTGCATAGTATTTCTTATTTGTACCACAAGTTCGTGTATCAAGTTACTCCTACGTGTGGTTCCTGCATAGTATTTCTTATTTGTACCACAAGTTCGTGTATCAAGTTACTCCTACGTGTGGTTCCTGCATAGTATTTCTTATTTGTACCACAAGTTCGTGTATCAAGTTACTCCTACGTGTGGTTCCTGCATAGTATTTCTTATTTGTACCACAAGTTCGTGTATCAAGTTACTCCTACGTGTGGTTCCTGCATAGTATTTCTTATTTGTACCACAAGTTCGTGTATCAAGTTACTCCTACGTGTGGTTCCTGCATAGTATTTCTTATTTGTACCACAAGTTCGTGTATCAAGTTACTCCTACGTGTGGTTCCTGCATAGTATTTCTTATTTGTACCACAAGTTCGTGTATCAAGTTACTCCTACGTGTGGTTCCTGCATAGTATTTCTTATTTGTACCACAAGTTCGTGTATCAAGTTACTCCTACGTGTGGTTCCTGCATAGTATTTCTTATTTGTACCACAAGTTCGTGTATCAAGTTACTCCTACGTGTGGTTCCTGCATAGTATTTCTTATTTGTACCACAAGTTCGTGTATCAAGTTACTCCTACGTGTGGTTCCTGCATAGTATTTCTTATTTGTACCACAAGTTCGTGTATCAAGTTACTCCTACGTGTGGTTCCTGCATAGTATTTCTTATTTGTACCACAAGTTCGTGTATCAAGTTACTCCTACGTGTGGTTCCTGCATAGTATTTCTTATTTGTACCACAAGTTCGTGTATCAAGTTACTCCTACGTGTGGTTCCTGCATAGTATTTCTTATTTGTACCACAAGTTCGTGTATCAAGTTACTCCTACGTGTGGTTCCTGCATAGTATTTCTTATTTGTACCACAAGTTCGTGTATCAAGTTACTCCTACGTGTGGTTCCTGCATAGTATTTCTTATTTGTACCACAAGTTCGTGTATCAAGTTACTCCTACGTGTGGTTCCTGCATAGTATTTCTTATTTGTACCACAAGTTCGTGTATCAAGTTACTCCTACGTGTGGTTCCTGCATAGTATTTCTTATTTGTACCACAAGTTCGTGTATCAAGTTACTCCTACGTGTGGTTCCTGCATAGTATTTCTTATTTGTACCACAAGTTCGTGTATCAAGTTACTCCTACGTGTGGTTCCTGCATAGTATTTCTTATTTGTACCACAAGTTCGTGTATCAAGTTACTCCTACGTGTGGTTCCTGCATAGTATTTCTTATTTGTACCACAAGTTCGTGTATCAAGTTACTCCTACGTGTGGTTCCTGCATAGTATTTCTTATTTGTACCACAAGTTCGTGTATCAAGTTACTCCTACGTGTGGTTCCTGCATAGTATTTCTTATTTGTACCACAAGTTCGTGTATCAAGTTACTCCTACGTGTGGTTCCTGCATAGTATTTCTTATTTGTACCACAAGTTCGTGTATCAAGTTACTCCTACGTGTGGTTCCTGCATAGTATTTCTTATTTGTACCACAAGTTCGTGTATCAAGTTACTCCTACGTGTGGTTCCTGCATAGTATTTCTTATTTGTACCACAAGTTCGTGTATCAAGTTACTCCTACGTGTGGTTCCTGCATAGTATTTCTTATTTGTACCACAAGTTCGTGTATCAAGTTACTCCTACGTGTGGTTCCTGCATAGTATTTCTTATTTGTACCACAAGTTCGTGTATCAAGTTACTCCTACGTGTGGTTCCTGCATAGTATTTCTTATTTGTACCACAAGTTCGTGTATCAAGTTACTCCTACGTGTGGTTCCTGCATAGTATTTCTTATTTGTACCACAAGTTCGTGTATCAAGTTACTCCTACGTGTGGTTCCTGCATAGTATTTCTTATTTGTACCACAAGTTCGTGTATCAAGTTACTCCTACGTGTGGTTCCTGCATAGTATTTCTTATTTGTACCACAAGTTCGTGTATCAAGTTACTCCTACGTGTGGTTCCTGCATAGTATTTCTTATTTGTACCACAAGTTCGTGTATCAAGTTACTCCTACGTGTGGTTCCTGCATAGTATTTCTTATTTGTACCACAAGTTCGTGTATCAAGTTACTCCTACGTGTGGTTCCTGCATAGTATTTCTTATTTGTACCACAAGTTCGTGTATCAAGTTACTCCTACGTGTGGTTCCTGCATAGTATTTCTTATTTGTACCACAAGTTCGTGTATCAAGTTACTCCTACGTGTGGTTCCTGCATAGTATTTCTTATTTGTACCACAAGTTCGTGTATCAAGTTACCCCTACGTGTGGTTCCTGCATAGTATTTCTTATTTGTACCACAAGTTCGTGTATCAAGTTACTCCTACGTGTGGTTCCTGCATAGTATTTCTTATTTGTACCACAAGTTCGTGTATCAAGTTACTCCTACGTGTGGTTCCTGCATAGTATTTCTTATTTGTACCACAAGTTCGTGTATCAAGTTACTCCTACGTGTGGTTCCTGCATAGTATTTCTTATTTGTACCACAAGTTCGTGTATCAAGTTACTCCTACGTGTGGTTCCTGCATAGTATTTCTTATTTGTACCACAAGTTCGTGTATCAAGTTACTCCTACGTGTGGTTCCTGCATAGTATTTCTTATTTGTACCACAAGTTCGTGTATCAAGTTACTCCTACGTGTGGTTCCTGCATAGTATTTCTTATTTGTACCACAAGTTCGTGTATCAAGTTACTCCTACGTGTGGTTCCTGCATAGTATTTCTTATTTGTACCACAAGTTCGTGTATCAAGTTACTCCTACGTGTGGTTCCTGCATAGTATTTCTTATTTGTACCACAAGTTCGTGTATCAAGTTACTCCTACGTGTGGTTCCTGCATAGTATTTCTTATTTGTACCACAAGTTCGTGTATCAAGTTACTCCTACGTGTGGTTCCTGCATAGTATTTCTTATTTGTACCACAAGTTCGTGTATCAAGTTACTCCTACGTGTGGTTCCTGCATAGTATTTCTTATTTGTACCACAAGTTCGTGTATCAAGTTACTCCTACGTGTGGTTCCTGCATAGTATTTCTTATTTGTACCACAAGTTCGTGTATCAAGTTACTCCTACGTGTGGTTCCTGCATAGTATTTCTTATTTGTACCACAAGTTCGTGTATCAAGTTACCCCTACGCACAACTTCTACCAACCTGTTTCTCCAAATATTTAGCCCTCCCTTTTCTCCTTTTCACTCTCAATGGCGCGAGTTTGCATACCACGGATTTATATCGAGGTATGTAATTAATAATCATTGTGTGCCCTTTTTTTAGGTTCTCGCCACCGTTGTTGTTTTCTCTGTGTAAAGAGATTTTATTTAGGTATAGTACAGGTATAGAAATTACAGTTTAAAAATGTAAAATAGAATATTTCCTTACTATGATTAGTTTTGATAAATAAATGTGGGTTTGATAATGACTGGACTGGAAGTAATTAAATTATTTTAGCATTAAAGTTGTTACCAACTGTTTGTACCTAGTATTCAGTATTTGTACAACTGAATAATAACCTACCACTATTGTGCAGTTAGTATCACATTTCCCTAGTAGCTATGGTAACAGACTCTGTCTGTGTAATTAAATCTTAAATTGAAGTTAAAACTGTCCTTTCTTTCGCTAGGTTTTTATTAATACTGGCGCCCACCATTTAAAAAAAAGCAATTTCAGTATATGTGACAGAACACTTACAAACCGCACCCATTGATAATAACACACCTCTCTAGTCTATCCATACTACCTGTCTGTAAAGCAGATCAGAACAATGCCGCACCATTACTAGTAGTAGATAAGTACTGATTTCCTAAGTGCTAATTAAGTATTAGTAGTTAGTTCAATGTTACTTGTGGTACTGAACATCGTTCTGTCTCGAAACCGACGATTTGTTTTCACCAAACACAAATTACAATTCACACAGCTCAATACGATATATTATAACTTGCTGCTTGATCGTCTTCTTATATAATACGTTAATAATATGGTTAGTTATAACAAATATTAATAAATGGTTAGTAAGAATATAGCGCGCTTCATACTCTATTACTAACTAGAACTCATATATACTTTTTAGTTAGTTGTGATCTGATCTCAGGTCAATTCTATTTGTAATAATATTATGATGAGTAACGTTAATACGGTCTCACCTTAACTCGTGATCAGAGATGTGCACCGTGTTACTTTTAGGCAATAGGCGGCGGCGGTCTGGACGCCAAAGTTGGTCGGCGGCAGCGGTCTGACCGCGGTCTGACTTTTAGATATCCAAACCGCCGTCTACTGTGTACATGATGGTATTTGGTTGTGTAACTGATGTATATGAATTGATTTCTTAATATCACTCTACATTGAAGAACTAATTTATCATTAACAGCTGTATTTGTTGATCTGACGGCCAATACCTCAAAGACTGCGGTCTGGGTCTAAATTTCGCGGTGGTGCACGTTTCTGCTCGTGATATACTGTACCAGTTACACTTATAGCTACACTACCAGTTGCAGTAGTAGTTATACTAGCTCACTAGTGGCTATTACAGGACATAGACACTAAGTTCAACACGCTGATGAGGGACCCCTACTATGTGCGGATAAGTGCGGATAATATGGGTCTGGAGGGTATACACCACTTTTACTACACTGTTAAAACGGACAAAGTCAAACACCAGATATTCTGCAACAAGATATCCAGGTATAATCAGAAATAGTTCTGGCTCAATTATAGGTTTCTTTGTAGGATATTCTTTAGCTCAATTAAAATAGAGAGCAGTTTATTGTGACTTGTTCATTCGTTGTTCCGTATAAGTTGTAATCGTGTTTTGATCGTGAAGACGTTAACAGAATAGCCAATGGCTTAAGATGATGTAACTAGTATGTAGTCTAACGCAGATCCCACCGTAAATATTTTAAACTATTGTTCATTGTTCATTTTAACCTGGTTTTTGTGAGAATATCTTTTAACCAATAGCAGTGACTTAATATTTAACCCCATTAGATTGGTGGAGATCCTGTCTAACGTGACATTTGAACAATGTTTGGTATTCTCCAACTATCAGACAGGAGCTGAGGAGATCAGTCTGTGTCTCACCAGAGAGGGATTCTCTAACCAGGTAACCATGGGAACCATGCTGACCATGCTGCTATGGTAACCATGCTGATCCCACCTAATCAACAGTAGTTGTTGTGATACTTGAATCGTGGCTATAAAGCACACAACATTTGATTGGGTCACCAGTGTCACAGTGTCACACCAGTGTCACAGTGTCACACCAGTGTCACAGTGTCACACCAGTGTCACAGTGTCACACCAGTGTCACAGTGTCACACCAGTGTCACAGTGTCATAGTGTCACCACAGTGTCACAGATTTTGTTACTTCTTCCTTCAACTCTACATTATTTGAAACGCATCAAGAGTAATCACTAAATACCAGTAAACGACTGGGGGTAGGATTTGGCCGGGGCCGGGGCCGGGGCCGGGAATGTCCAAATTTTGCCGGGGCCGGGAATTGGCCGTTCTGGAATTTGGCCGGGGCCGGGGCCGTGAATTTAATAAATCCACGGCCAAGTTAGAACTTTTCAGGAGTTAGGATCTGAACTTATTTTTACTTGACAATATAATGTTCGTATCAATTGAACAGTTTAGAAGGTAATTAGATTTCATATATATTTTGGTAAAATAATTTTGTTCAGCTGAAACAGTAAATAAAAGTTGGCACTCTGGACATCATCCTTTCAAAATTGAAAATCCATTTTAAGATTTATATGAAAGTTTTAGGCCGATTTCGATCAAAAATTCCCGGCCAAATTCCCGGCAAAAATTGAAAATCGGCCGGGGCCGGGGCCGGGAAGAAATAGCTCCCCCGGCGCCGGGATTTCACGGCGATTACTGCTAAATACTCATTTATTTGACAAATAGCGAATTAAATGTATTTTGTTAGATAATGTTGTACAAATAATAACTTATTTACAGCTAATAGCAGGAAACATGGCTCAAAGAGATAGGTCACAAGCAATGGCTGATTTTAGGGAATGCAGGTAGTCCAGCCTTATATCATATATCTTGTGTTTTATCTCATCTCCTAATTAGAGATCTTAATAAAGTCTTGCTAGCCTAACATTTGAATATTTCCTAAAAACAATGCCTCTAATCAGATTTAATTGCAGATTTCGTGTACTGATAAGCACTGACGTCACGGCACGTGGTATAGATAACGAGCACGTGGACCTGGTCATCAACATGGACCTCCCCGTAAACACGCTTATGAACCCCGACCCTCACACATACCTTCACAGAGCTGGTGAGTAAGGTCACATACCTTCACATAGCTGGTAAGTAAGGTCACTTACCTTCACATAGCTGGTAAGTAAGGTCACTTACCTTCACAGAGCTGGTAAGTAAGGTCACTTACCTTCACATAGCTGGTAAGTAAGGTCACTTACCTTCACATAGCTGGTAAGTAAGGTCACTTACCTTCACATAGCTGGTAAGTAAGGTCACTTACCTTCACATAGCTGGTAAGTAAGGTCACTTACCTTCACAGAGCTGGTGAGTAAGGTCACTTACCTTCACATAGCTGGTAAGTAAGGTCACTTACCTTCACATAGCTGGTAAGTAAGGTCACTTACCTTCACATAGCTGGTAAGTAAGGTCACTTACCTTCACATAGCTGGTGAGTAAGGTCACTTACCTTCACATAGCTGGTGAGTAAGGTCACTTACCTTCACATAGCTGGTGAGTAAGGTCACTAACCTTCACTGGTAGTAAGCCAGTAAGGTCACTTACCTTCACATAGCTGGTGAGTAAGGTCACTTACCTTCACAGAGCTGGTGAGTAAGGTCACTTACCTTCACATAGCTGGTAAGTAAGGTCACTTACCTTCACATAGCTGGTGAGTAAGGTCACTTACCTTCACAGAGCTGGTGAGTAAGGTCACTTACCTTCACATAGCTGGTAAGTAAGGTCACTTACCTTCACATAGCTGGTGAGTATGGTCACTTACCTTCACTGGTAAGTAAGCCAGTAAGGTCACTTACCTTCACATAGCTGGTAAGTAAGGTCACTTACCTTCACAGAGCCTAGCTCGTGAGAGAACTACGATCACGATACCCCCCATTAATGTTAGATCTGTTAACATATTTCCCACAACCAGTACCTGGTGACTATATTTCCCATGATGATTTAATAAAACGTAAAATGATGATACAATCAGAACAGTTGTGCATGCTCATTAATATTCAACGAAGTGAACTGCACTAAATGTGAACTATCAAGTATCACAACACGTCACTTACTTTTAACACTATATTCAAACACTTCACTGCTCTTTTAGAGCTAGTTCCCCTCTAGTTCTCTTCTAGGTCAGCTCACATCCACACCGCTGTTCTGGAATACTCCTTATTAGGTGTGTTACACTCCTTATTAGGTGTGTTACACTCCTTATTAGGTGTGTTACACTCCTTATTAGGTGTGTTACACTCCTTATTAGGTGTGTTACACTCCTTATTAGGTGTGTAACACTCCTTATTAGGTGTGTTACACTCCTTATTAGGTGTGTTACACTCCTTATTAGGTGTGTTACACTCCTTATTAGGTGTGTTACACTCCTTATTAGGTGTGTTACACTCCTTATTAGGTGTGTTACACTCCTTATTAGGTGTGTTACACTCCTTATTAGGTGTGTTACACTCCTTATTAGGTGTGTTACACTCCTTATTAGGTGTGTTACACTCCTTATTAGGTGTGTTACACTCCTTATTAGGTGTGTTACACTCCTTATTAGGTGTGTTACACTCCTTATTAGGTGTGTTACACTCCTTATTAGGTGTGTTACACTCCTTATTAGGTGTGTTACACTCCTTATTAGGTGTGTTACACTCCTTATTAGGTGTGTTACACTCCTTATTAGGTGTGTTACACTCCTTATTAGGTGTGTTACACTCCTTATTAGGTGTGTTACACTCCTTATTAGGTGTGTTACACTCCTTATTAGGTGTGTTACACTCCTTATTAGGTGTGTTACACTCCTTATTAGGTGTGTTACACTCCTTATTAGGTGTGTTACACTCCTTATTAGGTGTGTTACACTCCTTATTAGGTGTGTTACACTCCTTATTAGGTGTGTTACACTCCTTATTAGGTGTGTTACACTCCTTATTAGGTGTGTTACACTCCTTATTAGGTGTGTTACACTCCTTATTAGGTGTGTTACACTCCTTATTAGGTGTGTTACACTCCTTATTGGGTGTGTTACACTCCTTATTAGGTGTGTTACACTCCTTATTGGGTGTGTTACACTCCTTATTAGGTGTGTTACACTCCTTATTAGGTGTGTTACACTCCTTATTAGGTGTGTTACACTCCTTATTAGGTGTGTTACACTCCTTATTAGGTGTGTTACACTCCTTATTAGGTGTGTTACACTCCTTATTGGGTGTGTTACACTCCTTATTAGGTGTGTTACACTCCTTATTGGGTGTGTTACACTCCTTATTAGGTGTGTTACACTCCTTATTGGGTGTGTTACACTCCTTATTAGGTGTGTTACACTCCTTATTAGGTGTGTTACACTCCTTATTAGGTGTGTTACACTCCTTATTAGGTGTGTTACACTCCTTATTAGGTGTGTTACACTCCTTATTAGGTGTGTTACACTCCTTATTAGGTGTGTTACACTCCTTATTAGGTGTGTTACACTTCTTATTAGGTGTGTTACACTCCTTATTAGGTGTGTTACACTTCTTATTAGGTGTGTTACACTCCTTATTGGGTGTGTTACACTCCTTATTAGGTGTGTTACACTCCTTATTGGGTGTGTTACACTCCTTATTAGGTGTGTTACACTCCTTATTGGTGTGTTACACTCCTTATTAGGTGTGTTACACTCCTTATTAGGTGTGTTACACTCCTTATTGGGTGTGTTACACTCCTTATTAGGTGTGTTACACTCCTTATTGGGTGTGTTACACTCCTTATTAGGTGTGTTACACTCCTTATTGGGTGTGTTACACTCCTTATTAGGTGTGTTACACTCCTTATTGGGTGTGTTACACTCCTTATTAGGTGTGTTACACTCCTTATTGGGTGTGTTACACTCCTTATTAGGTGTGTTACACTCCTTATTGGTGTGTTACACTCCTTATTAGGTGTGTTACACTCCTTATTAGGTGTGTTACACTCCTTATTAGGTGTGTTACACTCCTTATTAGGTGTGTTACACTCCTTATTAGGTGTGTTACACTCCTTATTAGGTGTGTTACACTCCTTATTAGGTGTGTTACACTCCTTATTAGGTGTGTTACACTCCTTATTAGGTGTGTTACACTTCTTATTAGGTGTGTTACACTCCTTATTAGGTGTGTTACACTCCTTATTAGGTGTGTTACACTCCTTATTAGGTGTGTTACACTCCTTATTAGGTGTGTTACACTCCTTATTGGGTGTGTTACACTCCTTATTGGGTGTGTTACACTCCTTATTGGGTGTGTTACACTCCTTATTGGGTGTGTTACACTCCTTATTGGGTGTGTTACACTCCTTATTAGGTGTGTTACACTCCTTATTAGGTGTGTTACACTCCTTATTAGGTGTGTTACACTCCTTATTAGGTGTGTTACACTCCTTATTAGGTGTGTTACACTCCTTATTAGGTGTGTTACACTCCTTATTAGGTGTGTTACACTCCTTATTAGGTGTGTTACACTCCTTATTAGGTGTGTTACACTCCTTATTAGGTGTGTTACACTCCTTATTAGGTGTGTTACACTCCTTATTAGGTGTGTTACACTCCTTATTAGGTGTGTTACACTCCTTATTAGGTGTGTTACACTCCTTATTAGGTGTGTTACACTCCTTATTAGGTGTGTTACACTTCTTATTAGGTGTGTTACACTCCTTATTAGGTGTGTTACACTCCTGATCCTTATTGGATGTGTTACACTCCTTATTGGATGTGTTACACTCCTTATTAGGTGTGTTACACTCCTTGTTGGATGTGTTATGCGCTCACCCAGTGAACTCACCCAGTGAACTCACCCTGCTCACCCAGTGAACTCACCCTGAACTGTACCCAGCCCTTGTCTGATCCGTCTTCTAACTTCACTCTAACCAGGTCGAGCAGGAAGGTTTGGGAAGTACGGCTCAACCATCTCCATCATCGCCTCCCAGAAGGAGCACATGTTCATACAGGATCTGGGGGAGAAGTATCAGGTTTCCTTTCTCACAAATATTCTCACAAATATCACATACGCTAAAAATAGAACGGCTCATCAAATGGCCTTCATGACGTCAAGTTTAAAACTAGTGGATGTCATGTTGTTCTGATGTTATAATATTACGTGTCCTGAGAAGGTCATGATGGTGCGTGTGACGGTGCGAGTTAGTTTTCTCTCTACCTCTGTTACCTGTGTTACCTGTGTTGCACTGTTAATTATGTTAATTATTATGTGAGCAGCATTATGCACCGCCCCACGCTTCCACTTCCTTTATCCACCGCTTTCCCCCGCCTACATATTAACGGGTAAATGAGATAATGATCTCTAGTAACCTTGTTAGAAATCCTCTCGGAGGGCAACTTTCAATCGGCTATACTTTTGTTTGTTTGCTTTATCAAGGACCAGTTTGAAATATTTTATGAATAATATTCATTCGCAATCTCTTCGTTTTCACAGTCTTAGTCGTATTTCCTTCCGAATGTTACATTTATGTCGATTGTCGTATATTTCTGCACGGTTTTCTTTATAATAATATATATTAAGACGCAATGAAACTACCGGACTGCGATGTATGGGGACTTGCCACCCCATGGCAACATTAAAATATATCGACTCTGTTACATCGTTTCCTCAAATTATTTGTTATATAGTAGTGTTGAAAGTATTAAAATGAAAGTATTAAAATATACCTTCTCTGATATACATATGTATGCACCATTATTGTTATAACTAGTTGTGTCAAGTATAAGATAAGTGTTAACGACCTTTCATCAGATTGTTTGCACCGTCTAGCCTAGTGTGTTTCTAGTTTGTGTCTGGACACTGCGCTGTCCAGTGTGTCTCCTGTGTGTCTCTAGTGTGTGTCTCTAGTGCTTTAGTGTGTGTCTCTAGTGTGTGTCTCTTGTGTGTGTTTCTAGTGCTTTAGTGTGTGTCTCTAGTGTGTGTCTCTTGTGTGTGTTTCTAGTGTGTGTCTCTAGTGTGTGTCTCTAGTGCTTTAGTGTGTGTCTCTAGTGCTTTAGTGTGTGTCTCTAGTGTGTGTCTCTAGTGCTTTAGTGTGTGTCTCTAGTGTGTGTCTCTTGTGTGTGTCTCTAGTACTTTAGTGTGTGTCTCTAGTGTGTGTCTCTTGTGTGTGTTTCTAGTGTGTGTCTCTTGTGTGTGTCTCTAGTGCTTTAGTGTGTGTCTCTAGTGTGTGTCTCTTGTGTGTGTTTCTAGTGTGTGTCTCTAGTGTGTGTCTCTAGTGCTTTAGTGTGTGTCTCTAGTGTGTGTTTCTAGTGTGTGTCTCTAGTGTGTGTCTCTAGTGTGTGTCTCTAGTGCTTTAGTGTGTGTCTCTAGTGTGTGTCTCTTGTGTGTGTTTCTAGTGTGTGTCTCTTGTGTGTGTCTCTAGTGTGTCTCTGTGTGATTTATCACCCTCTTACACTGTTTGTCTTGTAGGTAGAAGTTAAAGAAGGTCCACCCTACGACCAAATAACAGATCTCCTGAGAAGAAGTAAGGGGCCATCCTCTGAACCTGCCCTCCCCTCAACCCCCGAGAAAGAGCCACTCCCAGAGAGTAACAGCTCCCACACAGACTCCAAAGGTAGTTCACACGACTTCTCTAACGAGGATTTAACTGGAAGTGTGTCTGAAGTTAAGAGTGAACGGAGCAGTAAAAGCGCCCCAACTCCAGACTCAGTCTTCAACGGCTGGTCAAATAACAAGTCAGAGACAGGCACTGTTACTGATCTTAATAGTCTCAGATCTAACGTCAAAGTTACTCAAAAGGTTAGTTTTACTTCTGTCATATTTTATTATTGGTTGAAGACCGGAAATGTACTTATCTCTGAACTTGTAAATCCTTTATTTTATGTTATACGTAAATCTGTTAATAAAATACTAAGATAAGTAAGCTGTTGTTAATGAAGTATTATTTTTCAGTCTAGAGGTTCATCCAGCGGAACAGATCCCCGAAAGATTAAGATGTCAGAAAAGGTTGAACCAGACGGGAAACAGGAGTTAGATGGAGATACGGCGCTCAGTAGCCTCGGCAGTCTGGGTTAGTTGCAATCTATTTTTAGAAATTAACTTCTCTAGGCTTATTAGATCAGGTCCGGTTTTTAGCTTCTTTTTTCGGGCTATTCTTAGAGTTGAGGAATGCATTGCGTAATGGTCTATTTGTTGCACAAATGTCCGGTCTGTAAGGTGTCTTTTTGTTAAGATTCTGTATATTGGGAACCTTGTCGGAATAGCGGAGGTGTTAGCATATGGTACTTACTAAAGATTACACAAAACTTTAAGTTTAATACTCTGAATTCTGCATTAGCGTTATGTATTATGTTGTAACTCACTTTTAAAAACAAATGTTCTGTTGGTAACGTACGCACTGTTAACGGGTGTTTTGTCTTTCGTTTAGATAAACCCTTGTTTCTTCCTTATCCCGAACGCATATCCTAGGTTAAACCCTTATCTTATCTTAAACTCATATTCTTGGTAAACTGCTTTTCTTATCTCGAACTCATATCCTAGGTAAAATCCCAGACTCGCTGGAATCAGCTCAACTGCCAGGTTCTGCAGATGAGAATGTGTCAGTGTTCAACTTTAGTAGTCAGGACGTAAACCACTACCAGGAGGATTTGTCCCTGTTTACAGAAGCGCTGGGTAGTTTGAGTTTAATGCCTGAAGCTGAAGAGGACGCTCCTAGTTCAACTCCCTCAACTTGTGGCTCACAAAAACCACCCTCACAAAAGTCACACTCTGATAACGATACTACTGGTAACGAGAATGTAACTAGAACTAGAAGGAGGTCTAAAAATGAGAAGAAAGCGAGGAAACCCCCTAAATCCCTGAATATGGCTTCACCCAAAGGTCAGCCTAATCGTAGAACCCAGTCTGCCGCAGCAGAGTTTGCGAACTGTAATATCCTGTCTCCACACACCCCCAAGTGGAGGTCTGAAGCCGTGTCTTCTGCCGGGTGTATTATCCACTCCAAGGCTATCAATGTCAAGTTCCTCCTCGAGAACTACCTGTGTCTTAAATACGAGTTTACTGATAAGAGCTACGATACTGATTACAGAGGTTTCTTCCCGCCAAAGTTTGAAATCCTTCAAAATTCTTCTACTGCAGTTTGCGAAGTTCCCGCAAAGAAGCCCCTCGCTCGGTTTGTATCACAAGGATTTGTAGCTAACTCGGAGCACGACCCCCTGATGATTAAGAGAACCTCTCCACAAGAACCACCTGCACCTAAACCTTGCTACGCCAGGATGCCATCTGAGGATATGAGTTTCCTGCACAAGCCCTATTACAGCAGCACTGACCCTACTTACGATGAGTTACCTGGAAACATGTTGCACTCTGTAGCTTCCTCCGGACGAGCAGGATGCCAATCTACCAGTTCTTCTTTTGATTCTGCGTCACGTCAACCTTATGCTCACCATTGTCACCATCGCCCCGGCGATCTTTGCAGAGAACAGAGCAAAGATTCAGGAATTTCCTTTTACTCCTCCTCGTACCAGTATCCTTCATACTGCAGTGCTCCGGCTTCCTTCGGTGCCCCTCCAACTTGTAGCACACCACCAAGTTGTGGTCCTCCACCAGCTTGTGGCCCTCAATCAGCTTGTGGCCCTCAACCAGCTTGTGGCCCTCAACCAGCTTGTGGCCCTCAATCAGCTTGTGGCCCCCCGCCATCCTGTGGCCCTCAACCAAATTGTGGCCCTCAACCGAATTGTGGCCCTCTGCCGAATTTCGGCTCTCAACCGAATTGTGGCCCCCCACAGGGACCCCCCTATTATTGGTGGGGTTACATGCCACCTCCTATGTGTGGTTACCAACCTGTCCAGCAACCTCAATTCTGCTCCAACTGTAACTCACCTCAATTTAACGTCGCAGATTTCAGCAGGCACTTTAGCTCAGCTGAAAGTAACAAACAGTTCGGGTCTGTAGAGAGCAACAGGCACACTCCCAATAGCTTCAATGATCCTAGATATTGTGCGACCAGTGACCAGGGTGCAACCAGGGAATCGTGGAACAGCGCTTGGGAGAAAGCTTGGGAAAAATAGTCGCTCATTACTGGGATAAATTGTTGAGATTTAAATTTTCAACTCAAGAACTGGAAATAGAGAGAGAAAGAAAAATTTTTGATTCAAATTTCTTTAAGCTGATTGATTTATTTTGATAAAATATTTTTATTCAAACACTGAAAATCATTTGATACTGTTTTATATATATTTTTGTGTTTAAAAAGTAGAGCATGTTGACAATATGAATCTTGCTGATTATTGAAGAATCAGCGACTTTAATAAAGGAGGGAAAGGGTGAATATATAAGGGTAGATATATTCAGGATGAAATCAAGTAATTTTGACATGAATTTTAAAACAATATCTATTTATTCAAATTCTTTAATTATATACTTAGGTTTTGGTATTCTTATAATTGTACACAACAAATTAATTTACCATGAACAAAATTGGCCATTCAAACAGGCGGATCTCAAAAAATCTTAATTTCGTGTAAATCCTTTTCGAGCATCTTAACGCTCAATATAACTTATATCCGACAATACTTTTCTGTAATAAGTTGGATTTCGATAATAGTTGTCAAAGAATAAGGTAAATACTGGTAGGAGTGCAATAATAGGCAAATTACATGATGGGGGCAGGGTGTGGGCCGCGCCACAAAAACCGAGGATGCCTCTTCTGCAGGAATGAATTTAAGGTCTTTAAATCATAAGAGCTGGAACACGCCATGAAACAATTTCTTGGTATAGAAGCGCTAAATATTATGGCGCGTACGTACGTGCATACATGTGCGCGCTGCCATGCACGGCTGTTACGTTCAGAAGGGCGATTTCTGCGATTTTAATCAGATAGGATTACCCTAGGATTTATCCTAGCGCGTCCGAGATATCTCGGATTTTATCAATCCTTACGCCGATCCGGTTCCCCTAGGATACCTCCGATGAATTCCCATCGCCGATAGGATGTGTAAGTTCTGAGAGCCGATAGGATTTGCTCTCGGACCCGATAGGAAATTAAAAACCTATCGGATCCGAGCGCTAATCCTAGCGGAGATATGATTTAACAATTCCGAGTGCTGATAGGATTTGCTATCGGACCCGATAGGATACTCAAATCCTATAGAATCCGAGAGCAAATCCGAAAGGCGATACAATTTCAAATATCAGGACCGATATAATTGGAAGACGACGCATATATAACTGTAGGTTGAAACTTCATATATCATGCTTTCTGTCAGTTAACTTCAGGATCAGGTCAGCTTTAAAACCAACTTGGATCGATGTACATGTTTTCGGGCGCTGATCCCGAATCACCCCCCATGTTACCTGGGGACCTCAGGCCATTATGTTCATAATAGCGGAATGACAGGGTGAGCGCGGCCCAGTAACCCCCATGATACTATACAGGCAACAGGGTTAAAATGCTCCCCTGGCGAGATATTGGCGAAAAACTGTCCCGTTCACGTGATATGACCGTATATCGGTATAAGGAAGTTAGTCTAATTTCTCGTTAGGGTTAGGGTTTCAGCATATGCTTTTGTTAAGGATTGGGTTAGGGTTAGGGTTGGGATCAGATTATAGAGGGTTAGGGGTTTGAATAGTCGTTCAGGGCCAGCTGGACAACGGGTCGAAGAAGTCACGTGACAGTCGAGTGTAGAGTGATTAATCATCATCCTTCAAACACAGTTTCAAGAACGATTAAAATAATACGATTTTAAATGCATATTTAGGGCCTGCAATACAAGCAGATTTTGCTTGAAAAATATGCTCAAATATCCTTACTTTGGGGTCGTTCACATATTACGTAATCAATATTTTGGCAATTTTTACCCCACCCCCCTCCGTAATCAACTGTAAGCATTTAAAACCCCCCCCCCCCCCCTCGGCTGATTACGTAATATGTGAACGACCCCTTTGTGATTTTAATCGGCAAAAACTAATTCCCGTCATGGCTGATGGCAGGGGACACTATTGAGGTACTGAATAGTTGGATATGAACAAATAAAACTTTGATAAACCGAAAATCATCAGAATAGAAGCTTTTCTGCCGTTTCTTTGATCGAAATTTTACAGTTTTTACTGAATTTTTACTGAATAACCAATTAATGAGACTGTGGTGTAAAGTTGCTATTTGCCCCCTCCCGGCTCCCCCCCCCCCCCCCCCCCCCCCCCCCCTTAAAATTTCTGGCGCCCCTAGAAAAGCTTTTTTTTTTGGTTCAAAAAAAGAAAGAAAAATAATACGCCCCCATTCTACTTTTTAGCGCCACAGCCTTTTGTACCCAAATATTTTTGTTCATCGACCAAACGTTGGCCGGGATATGGTACATTTTACTGCCAAATCGGACGCTTTTTCGGGAAAAAAAGGCCAACAATTAAACCCTCCTACATAGCGGGTTCTGTGGGGGCCTTGTGGGGGCCTTGGGGGGCCTTGGGGGGCCTTGTGGGGGCCTTGGGGGAAAAATAAGATAATATCTTTTTGGACGTTTCAAAAGTGTTGAGTTTTAATTAGATTTTAGTATCGTATTATTCTGGCAAAATATTTAAGTGTATCCAATAAGTCTCTAATTGGATGATACTCTGATAAGTAATCATACTGAAAATAATGTGCAGCAAATAATATCACAGCGCAATAAACTCTTGCTCTTGACATCTCTAGGTAAAGAGAAAATATTCCTTCCTTATCATTAAGATCGTGTACCACAATAACTGCGGGGTACTCTACTGAATAACAGCTGTCGACATCAAACAACTCTATAGTTTTATCTGATATTCTCTCCATAGTCTTTATAATTGTCTTTTCGAGACTATCATAATAGCTGTCCACTATTATACCAATTTTAAAACCACTCGACAAACCAGAGATACATAATTTATCCAACTCCATATGCAAAATTTTCTCAATCAAACTGAAATCGTTCTTTTCCATCTTCTTTTCAACAACATGTATACTGGTGCGTGGCCCATGTATGAAATGGCCCGGTTTCATTATTGGTAAAACATTGTCTATATTGTCTGCAGTCTCCTCCCCAGGAACTGATAATATCAACTGATCTCTTAGCTTTGATAAAATACCAGCTATATCAGTGGTATTTCTCAGATTCATAGACAAGGTTACAATATTTTCAGAAGGCATATCTTGTATGAATTTGTGCACTGCTTTATTTCCAACTTTTAAATGACACAAATGTGTTCTCTGTGTGAGATCACAAGCAATCCAGGCCAGGTTTGTCCCTGCTATTTTGGTACAGCTGTCTGCTATAAACTCAGCAGCCATGTCATCAAGATACAAATTAGCCTGACAATCGTCTATAAACACGTGGGTGTCTGTTCCTAACAGGCAGCCAAGAGCATTTTCAAAGTCTGAATTATCAAATACAATCTCCATTTTCACTATTACTACTTGGTTTTTCTCTCTGCTGTCTACTATTTTCTGTACTTTCATGTCTGCACTCTCCGATGAAAGTTCTTTCACCTCTAACACATCGTTGCTAATATTAGCTTTCTGAAAGATATCTTGAAAAAGTTGATGGTGTTTGTCGCTTATAGAGAAATAGAACAATACCACCTTGTTTTTGGGATTAGATCGTATCAATGTTATGATCTTAGCCAACAGAATGATAGTTTTCCCTGAACCTGGTGGCCCATTTAGTACCATCCCTATTGAAAGCATGGTGCTGTTCTACTGTCAAGTTCTCTACACCTATAATATCTTTGAAGATGTTGGTATCCTGATCTATATTTGCATCTTTTATATCGGTAACTTTCATCACATTTGGATTTGGAAGACGTTTTTTGCTAAGAAATGTTATCCCCCTTTCCTTAACTCCTCATCAATGTCAATTATACATTTCTGCAAACTACAATTCCTTCCTTCACATTGGTTTATATCAGTACACCACATGGCTACCAGTACTTCTTTTACCACAGCGTGTTTAGAGATAACATCTTCAGTTGCATCGCTAGATACAATACTTGTTACATTTGCAATCCACCACCTATTGAAATCGAGTAAGTCTTCTTCACATAATATTCTTGTTTTTTGCGCTTCATTCAAGTCCTGGAATTGGCCACGATGTGTGCTGGGAAACGCGGAGAAAGTAAGTATTTTGCACTGTTCTTTGCTTACTCCATCAACCACTTGGTCCACAAGACCCTTTACCAAACACTCTGTTCTCTCTCGTTGTTTAAGTGAGTTTTTAAATGTTCCCTGTAGCTCCTTCCTCTTCTCTTCCGTTACTGCTCCAGTTGTTTGGGGGATGTTTTTCACCTCAATTATCACAACATAGTTCTTGCCGACAACTACAAAGTCGCATTCCGATTTATCAGATGCTTTTCCTTTGCATTTACCACAGCTTCTTCTGTCATGGGTTTTATCGCACAGTCGATACTGATGATGGGTGTACTCAAACCCATGGAGAACTGTGACCCCCTCCGGCAACTCCTCCAAAACACGATACACTCTAACTTCAGCCTCGTAGTTTACCTGGAGACGCTTTTCTCCCTCAAACTGACTGCTCGATCCAACTTCTTCGTCTCGGTAGACATCTATGTATGTCTGTTTGGGCGCAGGAGGCAACATTATCGCTTTATCTTTGAATGTGCAGTGCTTCTCAATTATTTCTTTTCCTTTTACTTTGTAGTCCTCAATTGTGTTCATCGCTGAAAACAAACTCTAATAAAACTTGCTGCTAAGTTATATTTGGAGTAATTTAACAAAATGTTTGTTTTGAAAAGTTATTTTTATAATCATGCCTCATGCCTGTCTTGAAATCTATCTTTTGCAATTTGTAGTACCGTCATCAATGGGAGCTCTCCCTTTCTGTTTCCTTTTCTTTCCCATATCTTGCCTTTTTCAGTGATGCTATTGTTCTTTGTAAAGACCAAAACAAGACGCCGACCTGCAAAAAATTTCTAATTAGCAAAGTAAATTAATGTCTGACACAATTCCCAAATGATACACATGTGATAGTCTGTTGCTCCTGAGGTGTATAACGTGTTTTCAAACTGTCGGTTAAGGGACTTAATAGGCTTAAAGCTTAAAAGTCAGTTTTGATGTTAAGCCAATGTTATCCCAAACTTACCGTAAAAAGATATCAAATACCCGGCGAAACTCGTCAAATTTAAACAACACACCAACACTCTATAAATAAACATAAAATATCATGTACATCAAGACAAGTACAACAACGAAATAATGATATTATGCAATATTATGCAATATAGTTATGTGTGTAGCTACTAGTTACTAGCTATGTCACTACTCATTACGGCTCCTCTTACAAGATATTAGATGATGTGCGGTGAGAGAATGTGTGTAACGTGGGTCTCGTGATCAGTACACGAGGTATGTTAGGTGAGATAATATGCTTCTCCTCTGATGGAAATAAGAACGTAATA